AACAATAATATGCATGCTGTGCATAAATAATTGAATTAATTTAAAAAAACAGAGCAACTGCGAGCTGTGCATGCCCGATTGGAGCACATTTATTTGATTGCTTTGTCGGCTAACCACAAGCAAACGATTTAAAATATGCATGTCAACTAACTGCAAAACTGAATACAATATTGTGTGCCCGTGTGTGCTGTCTATGTGTGTGTGTGTGTAGCTTGACTTATTTGTTGAAGCAATTAATGTGATGGCTTAAGGGCCATCGGGGCGCTATGCCGCTATAGCCAAGCATTTTCGGGGCTTAATCTGAAAGCCGCACACACTAAAACCAAGGGGCTTAAGTAATTATGCATGCCAATTGCTGTTGTTGTACTTGTATTTGTTTATTGTTTTTTGTTTGTATTTTTTTTTTTTTGTTTTTGTTTTTCTGTGGCATGGCATGGGCGATAAGCGCAACCAGCACGGCGGCAAAAGACAATTCGAATGACACATAAAACAAACACAAATACGCATGCAAAACACATGAATACACTTACGTATGGCAGTTGTTGTTGTTGTTGTCGTGGTTGTTGTTGTTGTCGGAGGCATTGGAGACATGGGCACATGCAAATTTATCATTTGTGTTGGCACAAATTTGTGTCTGCCTTGCGAATGACACGAAAAAGGCAATTTAAACTGCACACACGCACACACACACACATGCACACACATACACGGACACAAACACTTAAGCATGTGAGTGCTGCTTCACAAACATTGACGTTTCGCATTAGAGCAGTCGACGACATTGCTACGCTGCCGCCGCAGGCATTACAACAATTTAATGCGCCACCCGCCGCGTCAACAAGCATAAGCAATAGTAGCAACAACAGCAACAACAACAGCAACAACAACAACTGGCAGCGCTTATCAGTGGCTACAACAATCAGGCAGGCAGCCAGCCAGCCAGCCAGGCAAGTAGCAGCAAGCTAGCTCAGCGGAGCGGGCCGCAAAAGAGCAGTCGAGCAGCAGATACAGGAGACAACGACCCCAACAGCTAAATGACAGGCCAGCAAATACACACACGCACACACACACACAGTCGTAGACCGTTATCACTTATGGGCTGTTGCTACACTTAGACAACCGCAAAGCACAGTGGCATAAAAAAGCGCGCCTGAATTACTGTATAAATTTTACAATACCCATTCACTATATATGGGCACAGAGCTCTGCTTACAAATTTTATATTTTCAAATATATTTATAAAAATTCATTTATTAACATTCACTAGACAGTAAAGGTATATATTTTGTATATATATTATATATGCATATGCATATTTGGCGCTTTGCATGCCACAGTGCCCGAAAATGTATATGTTCTTTTTGCTTCTTGCTAGTTTTCCATAGTTTTCTACACTTGCCTTACATTGGGTTTGTTTGGTGAGAAAAACGGTTTCCATTGGCATGTGTGGAGAGGGTATAATTGAGAGGGGGAGAGGGGCTGGGAGTGTAGGGCGACGACAACGACGACGACGACGACTACATCGACAACTTTGTGCACATTTTTATTAGCAGGCGACTGGCTGAAAATTATGGCCTCTTTGTATGTGTGAGTGTGTGTGTGTATATGTGTGTGCATACTTGTACTAATGAGACAATTTTCACTAGTTTCGTGTGCGTGTGTTGACTTAAATTTGATCCCTAATGAACTGTCGCTCTGACTTGTTGCTTTGCGGCTGCCCACAGCAACAAAAAGTAGACCTCATGCCCAGCTCCAGGTCCACGCGTCCATGCGTTCATGGGTCTCTGGGCATGCGAGTACTCATCTCTCTTTCAGCTGTCACATTAGCTCGCCTTTATTGTTTGTGAGGCCGCGTCTGTGTGTGTGTGTGTGTGTGTGTGTGTGTGTGTGTGTGTGTGTGTGTGTGTGTGTGTGTGTGTGTGTGTGTGTGTGGTTGTTGTAAGCGTTTCAATTAGTGTTTGGCAAACTACAACGCCCCTAACAGCCAACAGTCACGCCCCTACCCAAAGGCAAGTGTCTGTTTGCCAGGCTTTTCTATGTTCAACACATGAATATATATAAGTTGCCAACTCTTTAACAATGCATATGAATATATGAACTTTACGCACACTCGCAAGCATTTTATGCCCGAAATAAATATGAGTCTCTTGTTTAAGTTGCGCTTGAGATTTATCTTTGAGCTGGGGGCTCAGTGTTAAGCCTGCTCCAGGGACCAACAGATTAAAACTTTCTGTATACATGACCAAATCATGTTGATGTGAGCCCTGCGCCATTTGCTCGTAAAGTGGCTAGAAAGTTATCGAGGCAGCCACAGTTCGGACTAATATGGATACATTTGTTAGTTAATTTTAAATTTTAAAATTGGATTCTTTGTGTATTTTTCTATTTACAACTAACAAAGCCAAAGTTGAAGTTTTGGCCTTAAAAGCGGCCGAACTGAACAAAGCATTTTGGGGCAGAGGAAAAGTGTTGCAAGTCAATATAAAATGTGTGTGCGTAGTATATAAATGAATGAGCAGCTACAGAAATGTCAGGGTCGGTGATTATATATACCTTTGCCTAGACCCAAGCTGGCAAACGGAACAGGTTTCAACCAGGTACTTATTTTTTCGTGGATCAAGCCAATCTTAAATCGGATTGCATATGCACCAAAATTATATTAAGATAGTCGAAATCCTCAGCAGCCTTCTTAGGTTGGCTAAAGTTTTAACCTTAACTATGTTACAAGTAAAAACGCAACGAACCAGCAACGAACCAGCGAAAGCACTTGTTGGGTATTAAGTCATATATATAAGATCTGACCTTAGTCAGAATGGAAGATAAGAAAGCAAAACAACATTTAATTTTCCTCAAGGCGCAGCACTCGACGCGCTTGGGCAATTAACGATTGGCAATAGGCAGGTTGAACCACAGTGAAATGCTTTGCATTATTCGGAAGTATACAAGTCTTTGCTTTGCGATAAAAACTTGGTAAGTGAATGGACATTAACGACGGCCAGCTCAAATGGCATCCAACTAACACAGCGCAAGTGGAGCAAAGGACAAGATTCGGCTTAGTAGGCGGAACTTATAACACACATATATTGAAGTTGTAGACACAAAGCCGAGATCATGATCTTGATTTTTATAAGATGCAGTCAAGGACAAACATTTTTGGGGCGTGCTTGAAGAAAACGTATTTGCATCGACTTAGCCAAGCGAACTCTGTGAAAATCTACACAAGTGCCGATTTCGAGGGGCAACACTTTAATTTAGGCCAAATTTTTATGCACCAATGCCATTGATAATGTCATGAGCATGACAATGGGGCGTTGATGATTATTTTTGATGAGTAATAGACCAGAGCGTCAATGGCAATGGCAATGGCCGTGGTAATGCTTTCGCCTCGCTTATCCTTATCGTTCCGATGCCAATAAGTGCGAGAGGGGAACGAAACAAAAACCAAAAACAAAAACAATACATAACAAAATAAAAATTGTATAAATATTTTTATTACGTTATCGATTACTGTTTGGCATATCAGTAAATAAATTAAAAGTAAAAGATGAGCAATGCATCATAAAAAAATAAATGCAAAGAAAAAGCAGAGCGAGAATTATGTGTATTTTCTAATGATGCCGAAGATGCAATACCCTTACGCGCTGTTCGAAGAGAAGTCGAGCTTATAACGATCTAGCCAGCTGATGTTGAATTCACGCAAATCAGCTGTTGACCTCTATAACGAAGATTGAGTGAAGTCTCTGTCAAAGGAAGAACTAGAAATGGGCAAGTGGAGCCAAAATGGTTGCCTGACGAGCTGGTACGCTCCATTTACAGGCACCCTGAAGCGCAGTGCATAAAATAGGGTCGTTCCATTTGCGATATAAGGTAAAGCAATAACCACGTAACAATAAATCATCAAACACACAAACGCACACACACACACACCCACAAAGACCGAAGCACAGGTGGATTAGGGAAATACGCTTAAACAAAAAAAAAAAAAAAAAAAAAAACTAAACCGAAGTTTTGCATATTTAATGAATAGCGCACATTATGCATTGCAGGGGGAAATGTGGTATTGGCCCTAGGCCACTCGAAATCGGAATCGTAATCGAACCATCGATGCGTTTATTATTTATGACACGAATTCACACACATGCAGAGAAATTCATTGAATTAATTATGACAAGCCATGAGTTTATTTACGATCAATGTAGATTACAAATACATTATCGTTTTGGCCGAGGTGATTAGTTCGATTATGGGGTAGCCAGAGCCTTACTATCTAACAGTTCCGGAATGGTATGCCATGATAACGGCCAAATAAGAAAGCCGTCGAACTCAAACACGGTAGGTTTATGAGTTTGTGTTGAGCTAATAACCTTATGCCTTGACCTGGCCACACTCTTTGCTTGGCATATTTATAAACACATTGCGTATATTTGCATACATTTAAATAATAAATAATAAATCTATGGTAAACCCTACCCTTAATTGCCGTGCTTTGGTTTTCCAGCAAACTTTGCGAATAAGTTTTGCATGTCAGGCAAATACAACTTTTGTAAACTTGCCATTTTAAACAAGCTTCAACGGTTTTTGTTTTTGATTTTTTAAATTCGGTTTACTTGTGCTTATTAAAATTCTATTTAAATTTTATTTTAATTTTTAATAGCATACCTTTTGGGGCAGTCGCTCTAAGCATACAAAATATTAAAATGAAATTGTCGAAAAACACAAATGCAGCATACACAAAATATTCTTGTTGACAGTTTGTTATTTGCATTTTGGTTTTAAATAAATTAACTAACGCAAACCTCATGCGTTTTTTAGTTTTGTTCACTTCAAACTTTGTTAAAAACTTTTGCGTTGAAAACAAAAAAATAAAAAACAACATCCACACAATTGACATAGTTTTTGTAAATTAACATTGCAGCATAAAACATTTTTAAGCAAATTACTAAAAAAGTTTCGAGCTTGTAAATTTAATGAAATTGTAGCTTGATTTCAATTTTAAATACCTGTTATTTTATTTCCAGCTGAATTTCGAAAACAGTTTATTTTGCGTGATATTGATGGAGTTTTTGCTTGCTTCTAATTACACTTTAAAAAAAATAAATGCACGCAACAAATTCAAATTTTAGATTTTAAATTCGGATTAGGCGCAACAACAAAAAAAAAAATCCAGCAAAAAAAATGATCAATAACAAGAGCACAGAGTAAAAGGTTAAGCACACAAAAGCGTCGATTTGAGCAAGGCTCAGATTCAAAATTCAGTTACTGACTTTACTGTCGCTGCGTCGCCTGCTGTTGTGTACGTCAAGCTTGGCACTGGGCAGCAGCGCCTAACAACACGCTGCTTCAGGTTCCCGGGAAAAACTAAACTGTTGTTACACTTGATGCATGCGTTCAAGCAGGGCCACAGCCACACAGCTACAGCCAACGCCAATGCTATTGCCATACGACAGTCGACCGTCGACAACCGACAGTCGCAGACGCCGCACGAGCGAAATCCGAAGCGCAGCGCACTATAAAACGAACGAGTGTGCCAAGGTGCTCAGTGGGTGGCGCGGGCTGAAGGGTGTGTGTGGGTGGCTGGCGGGCGGTACAAAAGCGCCACAAGTGCATGGCATGCTCGCGCTTTTGTCACCCTGCCGCTCTGTCAGCCAGTCAGTTTAGCTAGTCAGTCGGCCAGTGCGACACCAAAAAACAAAAAACAAAAAAAATAAAACAACCAAAATTCAAATGGCAGCTGGCAGTTGCCAGCTGTGACCAGGCTGGGGAAATGACAATGTGAAAGCTTTTCTTGTTTCAATGCTGAATGCTGGCGCTGAGCACAGCGGCCAGCATAAAAGTATGCAAAAGCTTTTGGCAAAGCTTCTCGTGCCTGGCTGCGTGCGTGCCTGCCTTCGTGCGTGCGTGCTTGCAGATGCAACAGCTTCATCGAATACAAAGAAACTGCTACTGTGTACGCACATATATATGCGTGGAAAAACCTATCCCTGCTTGAATCATAGTAGTCGGCATTAGTTATTACCAATAATTGGAAATAATTAAGCTAGCATGTTTTGTTATTTCATAGGAATTCCCAATAGACATGTTTGAATACGACTTTCGTATAGATTCAACGGAAATGGCCATCAGCCATTAGCTCGGAATTTCGATGTTCAAAACAATTTCCATGCTCTGAGCACGATTCTGGTATCAATTTCATGGGCATATGTCCAGCTTCACAGAGCACCATGCACAGGTCTTTATTATGCAGAAAAACTAAAGGTAAAAGTTATATTTTTCTATTATCAAGATATGGACTTTGGTTTATGTGAGTACTACTTGGTTGAAAGGAATGCGAGCTGTCTAACGCATGGCTCAAAGATGTTTTAAGTAAAATTTGATTTTCGTGATTTTTGCTATTGGTTCTAAGAGTATTGAAGAATATTTAACATTTGTTATTGCTTCTACTAGAATTAAAGAATATTCAATGCGGATGTTGGCCAGCTTTCCATTTTCAAAATATTTACTTAGCTGCTTCGCGGAATTGAAAAACTTTTTATATAGCTTACGGATATTTTTATAATAATTTTAAAATATAATTAAACTGATTTAATATGCTTATCAATCTCGCCTTATAATATCTTCTTGATTAATTTTTTTTTTCAATAATAGAATCATAACGTGATGTGTTTATAATTTTTTTTTTACCATTTGGATTGTGTACTTTTTTTAACTGCAGAGCTGCAGGCCGAGCTGTTTATTCCATTTTATTTTTTCTCCCAGAGGCATGCTCTATCAGTTTCTAGGAAATTAATATAAAAATGGCATTGGGAGCGGTTGATTTAAATATATTTATATATACATTTTTTTTTTTGGAATTAAACACGAAATGCATTTGCTTTGTGGGCTTGCATTGATGCTGGTTTAGGCCACATACACAGCGTGCTTTATATTCGGAGCTTTAATTTTAATTTGTATTTCTGGTTTCTACGGCTTTTAAAAACAAACTTTTAAATACAAGCATAAGTTAACTGAGTCTTAGATTCTCAGGAATCTGTTTATATGCCAAATAGCTATTGGAATTTGTTAGCAGTAGGGACAAATGGCGCGGGTTTAGATCTTAGTAAACGGATTTCATAAATAAAGTTTTGTCTGAGCTCTACACGCATATTGAAATTTCAACCAAGTTCAATATGAAAATTGCTTTTGCAACGATGTGGTCAGCGACAGAGGGCCGTAGCGAAGGATAGTGAGGGGGTGGGAAGGAGCTGCGCTAGTTACTTATTGCACGGCCATCGTACAGTTTAGTACTGCGGTGACATATTTATTACAATTTCTTGTATCACACCTTTCGTAAAATCCACATTATTGGGTGGAAAATGGCGATCAAAGGTTGTTTGGACGGAGCTTTAAGTTTCGCCCGATCAGTTTCGAACTTATTGTCAAATTTAAATAAAAACCTAAAGAAATATGGTTTTGGCAATTCAGCAATTAGGAAATTCCATCCGCAACTGCAGAAAATGTGTGAATACTGTTTTTATTATGAAATCAAGCAGTTGCCGGCGTTAATTAAGTGCGACAAATCAAGTGGCATGTTTCGACATGAGGAATGCCTCCGACAAGTGACAGAAATAGCTGCAACAACAATAAATATTAAAACTGACTAAGGCCTGGTCACATTAATTGTTTTTGGTTGCAGGTGCCAAATGCAAGCAGCACACGGCAGCACCACAAAATCGCACAACGGCACGTGCCAACTGTCAGTGGAAATCGAGCAAATAGGTAAATAGAGTATCGATTTTAGTCACACGCAGTTAGGGACAACAACAACCGCTGCAGCAACGACGTCGACATCAACAACAGCAGCCAAAATCGATGACAATAAATGTGATCGGCCAGAACATACGCTAGATCAATCTAGAATAAACATACAGATGCATGTCAAATATTTTAAAAATTATGCTGAAATTCCAGCATTATATGTCGAACAAGAAGAGCGCGTTTGATTTACCAATCATAATTGATGTCAGTTTAATGTATAAATAAGTATATCCAGACGTTCGATTTTTGTAAGTTATGGAAGTAGATATATCTTAAGAGCTGGACTGAGCAAACTGAAATAAGTTGAGGTGATGCAATCTACAAACTACAGATTATGGCTTCTGAGTGAGGTGGACATATGCATATCGTTGATACTCTGCTCACAGGATCGAAGTAACCTTTATCCACGCGCACTGTACAGCTACAGGGTATATTAATAATAATAGCAACAGCATCAACTTAGCATGCCGCATGCTACACGGAGACAAACCAAAAGCCGCCAGTCAAACAAACTGTACAACAAGTTGCTACCAAAATGGGGACTCGGTGTGTGGGGTGGTGCGTGGGTGGTTAGCTGGTTGAAAGCAGCGCAGCGTGTCTCTAAAGGACGGACATGTGCGCGTGTGCGCGTATTGATGCGTGTGCGCCTGTGTGTTTGCCCTGGTCTGCCACTAAAATTTCAATTAATACTTATGTATCAACAATGTGCGGTGCATATAAAGGAACACAAAAGGCCATATTCAAGAGCCGCATAAAGAGCAACAACAACAATGAACACTTTAAACTGTTGACATTTGACAACAATAGCAAATTTTGATGTTGTTTGCAGCCAGTCGAGAGTTGAACTTGGAGATGTGTGCGTGACATTCTTATATCAATTTGAGTGAAAGTAAGCTAATAAATATATTTATCAAAAATTGATACAACAAAAAATGTGATAAACTTCGAGAGAATGAGGGAGGGGCAGATAGGCAGATAGAAAGAGCTGCCAAGCAATTGTATTCATTGACTTGATGATCTCTGTTCATAGCTTAACATATAAAGTTTCTTAATAAAAGCTTTAAAGTATATATTAACAATGTTAAAAAAAATATATAAAAAATTGTTGCGAAACTTAACTTAATATGGACTTTTTAACAGAACGTTTTACTCAGTTGCTTGCTGGGCAAATAATTAACTACAAACAACTATTCGTCTTAGAAAAAATAATGAATTGCTTAAAAGCTTGTGAACGATTAAATGGTTCAATTGAAATAAATATAAAAAATCTCCACGAATTCCCTTAATGTAAGCGAATCGTGACTTTTGCAACCGAATTTGACACAATAAATAATATAACGACCATCTCTAATTTGGTATATTTCTGGGTAAGAAAGGCCAACAGGAGTTGTGGTTAAGATAGCAGGCTGTTCGCCTTGTAAGGCGTGGCCGGAAATTGTGAGCTACACGACGTCAACATAAGAAAAACAAAACCAAAGAGAAAAATAAAGAAAACAAGTGAAAGGGTCACGCCAACGTTGTAGCTGTTGATGTTTAAGTTAATTTGAACAACAATAAAATAAATTACTCAACTCGGTTGGCAAAAATTTTGATTTGGGTTGCGCAAGCAGCAAGCGGCAGAAGTTGAGGGAGATTCTGGCGATCAAAGGTCACGTTTGCTTAAATGTTCAGTTCGCAGCTACAGCATCTATCAAGTGTGCGTGTGTGTGTGTCTTACATATACAAGTAAAATTTAACCGAACACCTAACCGGGCAACCCGCCATTTCGTAGCAACCTTTGCGCCTTGAAGTGAAAGTGTCTGGTAAAAAAGCAAAAGCCACAAGCATCCATAAAAGGCTGTTTTGTCTGAAAGTATCTATTAATGTATATGTGCGTGTGTGTGTGAAATTATATATTCATGCGCCTTTCTGTGTGTGTGTGTATGGGCGTATTAGGAGTTGAAAGAGTTATTATATGCTCATAAATATCTAAAGCAGATGAACGACAACAATAACATCAACGAAAACAGCAGCAGATCAAATGAAAGGCCTTCATTTCTTTGGCTGTATTTGATGCCGCGCTCCATTTAAGACATTTTGAACTGAAATATGCAAAAGCCAAGTCAAGACGCGTGCACTAATTAACTGTTGTTGTTGCTGCAACCAGCTGTGGGCAACAATAACAACAATAACCACCAAAAGAACTCATCAATCAATCATCGTCATTGTCTCATTATCATTACCGTGCTCGAGCTCTGGCCCTGGTTCCCACACACACACACACACACACACACAC